TTTCTTCTCCCCTCCCTCTCCTCTCCACTCCTCACCTCTCTTCAAAGTCCATTGCAAGTAAAATGTAAATAATACATCATAGCTTAGCATAGAGTTCCTGTGATCTATTCTATCCTCTTCTCCAATGTTCATCTTATTAAGCATATTATATGTTATAAAAACACATTATAATATTCATATTGCAATGGCCTGGTTCTTTAATAAGTTGACAAAATGGCTTCTGGCTTGTGACAAGATACCACTTTATATCGATTTATGCCTATAACATAGTCATCTACCGTGGAATGTCCTATGTATAAAGGGCCATTGTCTGTACCTTTTCTTATTGGGTTCTGGGTGACATTCAATCTTTATTTCTCCATCCAGCCTTAGTTTCCCAAGCTCCTCTCTCCGTCTTAGTTCTTCAGGAATGTCCATGATACTTGTCTGCAAATCAAGATTTTTATTAACTGTCATGAAAGGTGTATAAACCATTTATTCATGCTTTGATAAGATGGAGTTACATCCTTACTGTGTTGTGGGAAAATAAATATGTATTCCACATGAAAGCACATAAAAACTGTAATGGAGTTTCACATGAACTTGCTCATTGTAAAGGCTCTGTGTCAGTACCTGAATGTCTTCAATTATTTGTAGCATTTCATTATCCCGTTTAACCTCATTGATATAGTCAGCTAGATCCATCATTGCCTCATGTGCCTTTTTTAAGTTCTCTAAATCTGGATGGTTCTGGAAAAACACAAAAAGAATATATGAAACAAAAATACCCTCTGTAAATGGCTTAGATATATTTGCCCTTTCCATGCTTTAATTTATCACATCTTTTTAAGTATAACTGTATCTGTCATTACATTAGTATATATGATAACATCTAAAAAGTTATGTATACATAAGTTATATATATATATATATATATATATATATATATATATATATATATATATATATATATATATATATATATATATATATATATAACTTGTATATCATATATATATATAATTGAACAAATAAATAAAATAAGATCATATTCTTTGTACTTACTGCTGATGTGTATCTAATAAGTTCTCGTAATAAAAGGTGATATTTCAAGATTCTCTGCAGAGGCACTACTAAATATTCTCGTAACTGGTGCCTTCCTTTACTGACTTCCTTCTGACATTCCTGATGGCGAAAAACAAACAAACAATTAAAGATTTACTATTTTGAAATTCCTATAAAACCCCTCTCATATTGTTAAAAACTGGAAAAAATGAGACTTGAAAAGCAAAACTTAGGCATTACTCAATAAATGTATGATCACATTAACTATGGTGTATTTTTAAGTATCATTATCATAATTTATCTATTCTTCTTTTACAACTGTGCTAATGTTCAGCTATTTGAACAGGTGTCAGTAAAACTTTACTAATATCAACCGCAAGTATAATACATGTTTAATATAACAATACCTTACTGGGAAAAAAACAAAAATTCAATAGGGGTCCACTGACCTACTACACACAATGCACGACTTATCTCCCCCAACCCTACTACAAACAATCCATGACTTTTAATCTCGGATATCTCCAAAGTTTGATTTTAGACACAAGAAGAAGATGAAAAAACACACACACACACGCATACATATAATATGTATTGGTCAGTAGACCATCAAGCTATGAGATACTCCTTGTGTACAAATAACTAAAATCAAATAAAATATGAATCCATCAAAAAAAAAAAAAAAAAAAACATACTTATACCTATTCCTATATAAAACCAGCAAAAGGAAAAAAATATACCAGCAATTGACTGACATACTAGAATTGTCTGTAAAGAAGGAATGAGGGATTGGGAGTTTGACAGTATGAATTATGTTACAATGTATCTGAATTAATATTTCACACTTAACCCCCTGGATCCGGATGACGCTGCGATCATGTCAAGGAAAAACTTGGGCAGCTACACGGGTGACTTGAACAAAGCGTCAAGAGCGAAGGCCAGGGTGAAAGAAAAGACTCCCCATGAGTGCACAAACCTCTTGGAGTGTAATTTGACTCACTTGGCGCATAGATGGGGGCTTTAGCATTATTCCCATCGATAAACAAATGTGGAATGTAATGTGTGTAAGCAATGACTGGAAGAGCGCCAGGTCCAGGGAGGATGACCATTTCCATGCTGTGCACCGTATTCCTGGCTGCTGTGACTGGTGGCGCAGTTTGTATTACGTAAAATTGAAAATTAAAAAAAAAAAAAAAAAAAAGATATATGACACAAATAGCCAAATGTTCCATATATTTTTTTTTTTTCTTGGACTGAGCTATTCACTACATAGAGAGATGATATGGAGTCTGTGCAAGGAAAATAAGTAATTACCATCTAGATAAAGCAAATCAAAAGACAAATATGGACACTGGAAAATGGCCATAAAACTAAAAAAGTTTTCATAAAATAACTTCTCAAAGGGAAGGCACAGAGTCTTGTCACCGGATCCAGGGGTTCAATACATCTTACACTATATTACAATAACTAATTCAACTTAATACATGTTATTCTGTATCAGAATTACTATTTCACAGTCACTACATGTTATGCTGTATCATAATTAGTATTTCACAGTAACTACATATCATGTAAAAACAGAGGTGGGAAACATGAGGAAAGGAAAGCCTACATGAGGGATATGGCTATGGGGATGGCAGGGTGGGTGTGGCTAGAGGAAACTTGGCGAGAATGATGTTAGGGGATATGGAAAGAAATTGACTTACCCGCTTGAAACTTGCAACTTAAAAAAATCAGAGTATATGAAAAATGGAATATGGAAATAATGAATTACATTTTCATATTCTATCAAAGGGAAGGCTTAGCATGAAAAATGAGATTTTCATGCCCTTACCAACATCACCAGGTATTATTAACATGACCAGAGTGAAGGTTGCTAATAATGAGTATTTATATCAATATAAATATTTCTTTGCCATGAAAAGTGAGATAATTATCCAATAGGTCATATTCACATACCAAATTACTAAAAAATCAAGACATAACATTCTCATCCCTTTATTGACAGGCACGCCTATAACTGTCATGTGGTAATGACAAGTCATGATTTGCTCTAGAGAGCGAGTGGGAGAGCTGGCTGTACACAGAAAATTCTGGCCCTGTCATGACAGGGATTACCAGGTAAAATGAGTAACTGAAACTGAGTTGTAACTCTACAGTCAACCCATTGATGCCAGGATAGCATGTACATGCATTCTATGTCCACTGTGATTTAAATTTATTAATTTTGTTTACATGTAGCAGTTGAAAAATTCTAAAACCTGAAAATTCAAGGAATGAGAAATATGGAGAGGTCAAGAAGGACCTTGGTGACAAAGCAATTGAGGAGCTATCTGTACTCAACAAAATTCACACAACAGTTGACAGTTATGTACCAGATGCAAATGGATTAGTACATATGAACAAAGAGCTCTCTCTGTCTCTGTCTGTCTGTCTCTCTCTCTCCCAAAAACAACCACACATACATAAATGGTAAAAAAAAAAACAGATCAAAAGAAATGCTTTTGTGGAAGGAATCAAAACTTATGAAAAACACTTATGAATAAGTATGGTTATAGCCATCATGGAAAATTTTAGCTTGGTGATGGAGACAGCTATACCATCATGCTTCGGTCTAACGTTGACACTGAACTCTTGAGTGTATCTGGGGATGCGATTCCTGATGGGATTGCAGCCCAGGCATCTGATGACATCAGTGATTTTCCTATAGACCATGTCGCAGGATTGCTTTGTTGCCATCACATCAGCACACTATCCTGCTGATGATCAGCTTTAGAAGTTGCAGCCCATCACTGGTATGCTCAGTGCACAATTTCCCTCTGTTTTTGTCTCCTATAAGACGATAATGATGGATGAGAGCCTCTGGGCTTTCAAGGGGTGCCATCAGGCACTTCAGTATATATATATGCCATGTAAATGAGCACAGAGGGGGTTTAAGGTGTACAAGCTCTATTCAAGCAATGGACTAGAGGCCAGGTACACTACCGCCTTCTACATCTACATGGAGCAAGACCTTGGGGAGCTCCGTCCGAGTGTGAAAGATGTAGCAAACCTCATGGAGCAAGGGGGCCTTATGGATAAGGGATACAAACTTCACACTGACAATTGGTATTTGTCCTTAGCACTATTCCACTACCTGCAGGTAAGAAAAACATATGCCTATGGGATGGCAAAAACTAACTGTAGGTACATGCCATAAGACCTGGAGGTAAAAGGGTGACTACAGGATCACCCAGACAGGAATGCTTGCCCTGCATTGGGTGGACAAAAGGCCCATGACAATGCTGTTCATGGTCCACACCAGTGAGGCAGTAACACTTCCTCCCAACTGCCAGGAGCTAGAAAGAAGCAAGCCAAAGGTAGTGGTGCACTACAATGTCAGCATGAAAGGAGCTGACCTTCATGATCAGCTGGCTCAGTCTTACCCAGCCACATGCAAAACAATAAATTGGTACATGAGGACTTTCTTCAACCTGCTAGACCTGCCAGTCACTAGCTCCTTGGCCATACACAAAGTCCTTGGTGGTAAGATGACACAAACAGAATTTATGGCAGAGCTTGTGTGAGGTTTGTCACTGTAGGGACAGCGCCAAGGAAGATGGAGGACTCCTACATCCCCTGCTCCTACTGCTCCTGCAACTGAACCCAAGCTAGAGGACACTCTCTTCAGCAGATGGAAGTGTACTTTTTGCTTGAAAATGAAGGGGAAGAGAAAAGAAACCCGGATCTTGTGCAAGATCTACCAGATATCCCAGTGCCCTTCTTCCTGCTTCAGGGAGTAACTGTATACAATAGTATATATATTCATTTTTACTACAGTAACCCCCTTCTTCTTGCTTCAGGGGGTACCACACAGCTCAAGGTTTTGACTGAGCATAGAAATTTATTAAAAACTGTATATGTTTGTATATATATTATATTTTACCAAAGTAATCCCCCTCCCCCCAAAAGACATTTTTGTTTTCATGTGAAAACACACCACTACTTTCACACAGTACACTGCCACACACATGTAGTAATATTAAGTTATACTACAGCATAAGTCAGTAATGTCCTTCATAGAGCATGTGATATGGCTAAAATAGGACTCCAAAAATGATCATATAATAAATTAACATATAATAAAAAAGTTGTAACCATTTCCCACAAACTACCCACCTGGCTTTACACAGTGAATGACCTAGTGGGCAGTACTGATGGCTGATGGTATTCCACAGAATGAGTGCCAGACAGCAAATTCTCACCCCATCAGCATAATGTTAATACCCTCACCTGAATCTTTTGTCGTGCAGCATCATTGTTCTTCATAGTGTCTTCTAACTCTTGCTGGGCTGAGGTGAGATTAGCACAATATTCTCCATAAACTAGAAGCTTTTCTTGGTTATCAAGGAAGACTTGAGACACACTGTAGGCATGGGGGTTGTTTTGTGCTTTCTTGAGACCCTGATGTAGAATTCTATGAATCTTGGCTAATTCCTGAAGAAAAAAGATGAAGAATTGCATTTAATTATGAAAGAAATCTTTAAATTCCAAAGAATCATGTGAGCTTTATGAATCTGCAAAGTGTCGTAACATAAATTCTTTATACCAGTCTCAACATTCAATAATACCAGGGAGAAATATATACACATGTATTCATACTTAGTGGTAACACTGTTTACACTTACTGTCAAACACTACTTAGCACTATATATAAAAGCTAGAAAATTTTCTTTTCTATAAAAATACAAGACAGAGGTTAAAGCAACAAGATTCTCTGTGATGCACAACTGACTATTTTTCTGAAAGACTGAACAAACATAACAAAAGAAAAATAAATCATTGTACAGTTGAGGACATTTCCAACTGGTACACCACAAGTCTGAAGGTGATAATTTTTATCTGGCTATACATGTATAGTATGTAGTATTCTATGAAGGAGATGACTGTGATTGTTTGAAATAATTTTATAATCATCTACAACAGGATGGAAATCCGAATGAGGAAATTATATCAAATTGTCATAACCATTCAAATTACAAAACTTAAGAAAATAGACTGACTTTTGTCTGCAACTGTACATGTGAATATCTAAATTATGTCCTTCTGTATCAATCAAAATCTTTTCACTCCTAATCAAAATGTGCAAAAATATATTTTCACAGAATTCTTCTTAAAGATATTACCATAGATTAGAGCATAAATAAATTTGTCAATGATCTTTAAAAAACAACTAAACAGGCAAGCTTGTTGCATTACCGGTATTTTTGAAAAAATTTTCACAATCTGACTTTCTTCAATTAGTTCTCTAAGTGGTCTGAGGAACTTATTTGTGAGCATCTCGAGTGCTTCGACGTAATTGTTCTCTGTCTCTATGAGCTCCTGCAGGCAAAGGTCTCGCTTCTCCCTTGGTAAGTCCCTGGCCAGTTCCTGAAAATGTGGAGACACTTTAGTGTTCAAGAGTGTGATGGGCAAAAAAAGAAAGAAAGAAAGAAAGAAAAAAAGCCTCTTACTTTCCTTTAAATGAATAACATGAAAGGATAATCTAAAAAGTAAATAAGTAAAAAAATAAATAGAAACACAGCCTACTTCTTTTTAAACACGAAATTTAATAGATAATCACTTTCTTGACTTGGTGTACAATATGGCAAAGAAGAATCACAGGAAAAAAATGTCAGGTTATATAAAGGTATCAAATTATGGGTAAAATGTTAAGTTGAAATGTCATTTAATGGGACTAGTTGAAGTTTCATTTCAAATATGAATATTTTTGGGTGTAACTTTCAAACTCACAGCTTTTAATGCCTGTCTTAAAAGATCCCCACAGCTTGATGTTGTAGGAATTTCAAATCTAGGAAGTGGAATTTGGTCATAATTTGATGGAAAAAAATACATTTCTATGAGATGTCCATTGCATTGCTTTTTCTAACTTCAATTTCCTACTTGTGGGTCAGCAAATAAATAAACAAATATTAGTTTTTTACAAAAAAAAAATCTAAAAAGGACACACCTAAAATAATGATAATGAAAATAATAAATTATATTGATAAATTATGCCCTGAGCAACTAAGACACAAAAATAAGAGAAAATGTTAGTGAAAAATAATGAAATTTCCATGTTAAATTTTCTAACTCAGAGTTCTGGTGTGAGCTATGAATTAAATTTATATTCAATTAATTCAATTATTGATTTTGACATCATTCTTTGCCATACAGAATATACCACATTTTGTGAAAAAAAAAACTCATGATGAAAGAATACGTTGTAAAACATATCATCTATAATCAGTTAATTCTAATCCCTAACATTAATAACAGAAAAAAAGAACAATAACAACTACAACAATTAGCTTCCAGCAATTTTTAGCAATGAAACATTCATGTATAATCATGATGCCAATGACAGTAAGCACTTACCATGTCCAAAGGCAGTCTTGACTTTCACAGATGCAAGGCAACTGAACAGGCTCACTGAAGCTAAGTACACAAAAGTAACTACTGTACATAACATAAAATATCTCAAAAATAAGAGAGAAGGAAAAATCAGTAGGTAAAAAGATCACAAGAAGAGCAAAAGCCAGTAACTATATTCATCATGATAAAAGTGCTGTACAAGGCAAAGGCAATCGTCCAGTTTGTTAAAATTGTGCGAGGCTTGACCCAATGAATATTCATATATTCGATATGCATAAATGAAGAAATCAGATCAATCAATCAGTTAAATCCTGCTGCAGCCATTGGGATGCATAGGGCCTTGATGAATTCACGCCACCACAACCTATCCTGTGCTAACTCCTCCAAATCGTCCCAACATTCCTCTCCAGCCTTCCTCTTCATAGTGCATAACCATGTCTCCTTTGGCCTACCTCTTCCTCTTCTTCCCTGAGCCTGGGTGTTACCCGCAGAATCCTTCTCTCCTTTCTGAAGACATGTCCTAGCCATTTCCACCATGACAACCTAACATATTCATTCACTGGTTGCATCCCCATAATTTCTATAAGCCTATTGTTCGAAACCATTTAATTCCCAATATCATTCTCAGTGCTTTACTTTCAAAGACTAAAAATTTATCATCCGATGTTGTCGTACTATACTATGATTTATGCCCATATATTAAAATTGTTGTCACCATAGACTTATAAATTTTTATCTTAATATGTACTGAAAAATACTATGTGCCTTCTTCTGATCATACACTCTACAGATTCTTTCAAAACCTTCTTCACACGCCTGGCAACTCTTCCTAATGCTTCCTGTAACTTATATAAATCATCTTTCATGTCATCGGGCCCAATATTTGTAGGTGCCTAACAAACCAGCATACTGATGTTGCCGTGAATTGACTTAAACATTGCATAAAGCAGGCGCTCATCAAAAGGTTCCTACTCACTTAAAGCTTTATTTGCATTCTGACTAACCATCAAGCCAACTCCTTGATAGTGCAAGCAATCCTTTCTACCAGATATCAAAAGACTCACTACATCCTCCAAATTCATTCTGTCTATTCCAAGTAGTCACGTCTCTGTCACAGCACATGTCTAAATTGTATTTTTGAAAGTTTGAGAACAATTCCTCAATTATTCCATCCTGTCTCAGTGTTCTTACATTCCAGTTTCCAAACTCTATTGCCACTTTTGCACTAAAAAACCTACTTACAGACTGTGAGATTCTTAGAACCCATTTCCCACCTAAGGGCTGCATGGGACTAGGGGCCATATTTTTATCTTCTGAATTCATCAAGGTTTCTTTGGCTAGATAAATGGATGTTTCGCCACAACATCTCATAGCAGTGGACAGCTAACTTGTCCAGTTGCCACGAACCCGCATAACCAAGCTATGCTAAGGTTAAGTGCATGCCGGCGTGCTCCAAATCAGCCACTGACTTGTTAACAAGTTCTTCTGCCCGACAAAGCATCTACCCTCCTGCCTGCCAATGGATTTGATCAGTGTCGGTAGAGGACAATCATTTCCTCACTAACCCAACACTAACAATTATAGTGTAAGCCACACTTACTCTAAGAAATAAATGCATATCTAGAAGTCTATATATGCATATCAAATAAACAGATAGGTAGATAAAGGTATATCTATAAGACAGATAGACAGATATGCATTTATTTCTATGTATATGCATGTCCGTATACTGAATATTCATAGGGTTGGGCCTCGCACAATTTTAACAAACTGGCCTAATATATGCTGAAGAATTTTGAAAAATCTGCTGACTTACTTCAAATAGCTCAGAATAATAGGGCTCAAAGTCCATGGGAGTGTCATAAATGTTTTCCTCCCACTAAAAAGACATGCATATTAGTACTGACAAATCAGGTAAAATAGGTGAGTATTAGCAGGACTACCTATTTGAATGAAAAATGGGGAAAAAAACTCCAAACAGCATGCCAAGAAATTCAGCACACCAGTTATTATTTATAAAACAGAGCTTTATAATACACAAAATAATATTACTACCACTTGTCAAAATTGCAAGAGTTATATGGATAATGATAATGACAATATCCCCACTGTTGAAAAAGTGATAAAGAAAAGTAATCTTTATCATCCATATTATAAATGACATGCCCACAAAAACTTAAATGAAACAAATATTACCATAAGCCATTATTCTAGTAATGTTCCACTAACACCACATACAGCCACTGCCAATCAAAGTTTTGTTCCATCTATTTTGTTTACAGATACATGACTTCACCCATTTCCCCATTACTTGAATTTTGTGGGGGGTTTTTCTAATACTATAACTATCATTATCATCATTATATTCACAATGTTATCAACAATAACAGTAAGAAAAAAATCTTAAAAAAGGAATGAGGGAAAGAGGTGAGATCAGGTTGGTCTCAATTTGAATCCTTTTTTACATACAGAAAAAAAGATAAAACTAAAATCATAATGGACAGGGCAAGTATACATCCACTCCTAGCATCAATGTATTAAAAGAATCTTATCTGATGGAATTATATCAGGTTTAAATTACATTTATTAATTTTTCTTTTAGTATGCCTACACTGTTCAATTAAAAGTTAGATTTGGTTTAAACTTAATAAGGAAAATATATTGTAAAATATACTATAACTGTTTTATCAATAATAATAAAGTTATAATAATAATAATGACATAAACAAACAAACAAAAATAAACCACTAACATTGTCATTATCATCATATTGCTCTTCTAACCACAGTGGTCTTGAATGACTTTGCTGAATATCTTAAAATTTTGTTAATAATTTAATGCATTTCCACCACCAAAACATAAATATATATATATACTCAGTATGTCCATATATCCATGTATGTATGTATGTATGTATGAACATATGCATGCAGAGGTGGAAAATACTGGGAGTACTCCGAGACTTTAAAACTGTCCTCCACCTTGAATGATATACCATAATTCTTTTCTTTTCTTTTTAACCCCTTGCCATGGCTGTTGTGGACAAAGTTGTGGGTGGTATTGTAAACCTTCATAATTTTTATAGTTATCATATCAAAATAAAAGCTTTTAGGTGCAGAATGTTGCTCGCAAACTACTGAATGAGCTGGGCGCATACAGGGGAAACTGATAGTGCATGCCAACAACATTGTGATCATGTCTAATTGCCAAACTTTTTTCCTTGGGGTTATTGGGTTAATCATCTTGTCTTTGGAGCCATTTTTATAGTATAATAATTACTATTGGATATAAATTTGTGAGAAGGACAATTTTCTTTTCTCAGTATTGTGCACACACAGATAAGAAAATAACAGTATATACATATAATCAATATTTCTTTCTATCAAAATATATATACTGTGCATATCAAAAAGATTTGTTTCATTTCCGAATAAAAATACTTTGAACACATGAAAAAGATGCTAAATGTGCTATATAAAATATTTAGACAGAACTCATGCAAACCTTGTAGATATAACAAGAAAAGAGAAAACAACAAATATGCTTGGCGGCCTAGGTTCCTTTAAGTACAGAAATTTGATAATTTCTTAATTTATTCTGAAAACTAATTATAATTTGACTATCCAATTCACCCTACACATGTGTCTGAAATATATGTGTGTGTGTGTGTGTGTGTGTGTGTGTGTGTGTGTGTGTGTGTGTGTGTGTGTGTGTGTGTTGTGTGTGTGTGTGGTGTATATATAATATAATATATATATATATATATATATATATATATATATATATATATATGTATATATATATATATTATATATATATATACATATGTATATATACATATGTATATATATAATATATATATATAACATATGTAATATATATAACATATGTATATACATATGTAATATTATATATATATAATATATTATAATATATATATATATATATATATACATATGTATATATATATACTATATATACACACATATTATAAATATACATATGTATATATTATACATATGATATAAATACATATATTATTATTAATATATAATATATAATATATATATTATATATGTATATATATATATATATCATATGTATATATATATATGTATATAATATATTTATATATGTATATATACTATCATATGTATTATATACATATGTGTGTATATATATATATATATATATATATATATACACTATAGTCAGTATGTATACCTCTATATACATATATACATATGTAAATATACTTCATATGATAGGCTTACTAATAGTAGTATACTAATACTAATGCTAATCATATAATAGACCATATATACATAGTAAATATATATATCATATTACTACTCCCCTGGTGAGCGTTAGTAGTGCGGTATTATATAATATAGTAATATATACATAGATGTAGCTGACATTATAGTTACGACTATGACAAGTATGATGGTGAGTAGTATGCATATCTATGATATAGTATAATCATATGTTATACTCGATACATGCATATATACTAATATATGTTTACTACATGTACTAATACATTATATATATAACATAATTATTATTATAATATATAATACTCACTATATACATATAATAGTTTATACATATTATTTTATATATATTACTTATATCTTCATATATAATATAATAGTAGTATGAATTAAATATACAATATATAATATAAGGGAATAATAACATATATACTACTCATTTAGTACACATTTTATCATTATTACATCTTTATTGACATATATATACATATATTCATTATATCCATATATGTTTTCTAGACGCATCACTTATATATATTAATATATATATAAGTAGTATATATATATATATATAGACACTAACTATATACATATTATAATTATACATATATATATATACATATATATACGTAATATATACTATATATATACATATAGTATATATATATTAATACATGATAATATAGATATATATATAGAATGTATATATAGCGTTACATAATATAGATATATATAATATATACAAGAATAATATATACCTACTATAGTATATAATATAATATACTATTATATATATATATACTAAATCTATAAGTATATTAATAACTATATTGCAAGTATATTAGTATATTATATTTATACTAATTATAATAATATATAATTATATCTTTTTACACATAACGATGTCAACTACTATATGTCTGAGCTCTTAGATATATGCAATTAAATAATACTAAGATCTGGATCTAATATAATATAAGACACTATGTATACTCATATAATATATTGGTAATAAATAGAGGGAAAGGAATGAATTAAGAAAAGATTATAGTTTGTAGAAGAGATAATAACAATGATATAATATATTACAGAAAAAAAGAGATAAAAAAAGAGCGACAGAAGTAGGTAGAAGAGATAAAAACGTATACGCATACACAAAGATAAGATAAGTAAATAAAGTAATAGAAGAAGATAAACATTATATATATAGTATAGAATAAATTGGGAAATATACATATAGAAAAAATAATAGAGAGATATATATAGATAAATGATAATATAATATAATAATATATCCTAAATAAATAGATGAAAAATAATGAATACAATGTAGAATTGAAAAGAAAATGAATAAAAATATTATATATGAATATTAATATAAGTAAAATATGAGATATCACCGACACACTACATATATAACTAATATCGTTAGCAGAAAATATATATAATAAATTAATAATATAAATATGATAGTAATAATAAAATGTATCACACGCTAAGATAATGCTAAAATATACTCAGAAAGTGTATTATATATGGTATAAAATTAGAAGGAATAAAGACATAACATATAGTATATAATATACAATCAATAGATTATTACTTAATAAATTCTTATATATATACATATGTAATATATATATACATATATAGTACATATGTATAACTTTATATATACATATGTATATATAGGGTACATGTATGGTATTACTATATACATATGTATAATATAATAAACAATCATGTATAATGTTAATACCATATGTCATATAATACGTATGTATTATATATATGTAATATATAACATATGTGTAAAAACAAAAAAACACAAAAATGAAGAAATATATGTGGTCACTCAGTATGATGATACGAGGGATAGAATATATAATCATTATTCAATTGCTACAATATATACATATGTATAATATATACAACATAATGTAGTACTAACTATACTATGAAGTACTACTAATGCAGTACAGGACAGAGCTAATATAGTCAATTTATATGGTATTTTACTCATGTAACATATGTTATGATAAATCAAACCTATCATATGTGTGGTGTAATATCTATAATCACTAGTAATATCTCCGCTATTCATAGTTAATACAACTACATACTATATAGCATACATGTATATATATACGTCACTAACATTTGCAACGAGTCATGTATCAATATAATATATATAGATATATATATATTTAATACATATGTATACTATATACCATATGATACATATGTATAATTATATGATATATATATACTATAAATGTATATAATAATATTAGAGTCTAATCATAATATTACGTTAGCTAATATATTATCTCTACTCACCATTAGTGAGTAGTTTATTATACATAGATTAATATATATACCTAATGTATGTTATTTATCAGTATATATTATTTACATTCCAGTATATTATATTTGTTCATAATGAGAGTTATTTATTATTTTATTATAGATTTGATCATAATTATTGAGGAGATATATTATTAGTATCATATATTACTATGTCACTGGTATAATTTGTACTTAGCATCATTATAGATCATATGGATAGGTATACCTAGGATTATACCTGGATTATCTTTAG